GCGACGCATCTTCAACGGTCTGCTGACGCGCGCTCGCGCGCTTAGATGTTCGTGCCCCATTCTGCGTGCGTTTAAACCGCCCCGCATTGAACTTGTTCCGGTGGCAGCACTTCGAGAACAGTTCGCTTCTTTTGTTCAAGGATTTACTATGGTCTGCTTGTATTATGCATAGTTTTTCTGAAAGGCATAAGTTGCAGCACTTTTTACCAGCAGTGCGGGGGGTGGCGCGTTTCAAAATTGACCCAGTTGATCTTGAATGGTTCCCACTCGTGTTAAGTTTCCAGACATGTTTCGACAGTTCTGTGTCTGTAGCGTAGCGTTCGTTGTTGATAGATCTCTTGTGATTCCTGTAGCGTTCTTTGAAGGTCGTAGCCGTCATTCCGATGTACTCTTTCGTCTCCTTTTCGTCTTTAGTCAGTATTATTTCGGCTTTATACACGATGTTCTTCGTCAAGCAATTTCCTTGAAGAGGGCAGCTGTCTTTGATTCTGCAATTGCAGTTGTTGTTTTCGGTTCTTCCTGTGTTTCGTGCGTTGTTTAGTAGTCGAGTTGTGGTTTGAGATCGCGCTTTTTATGTTTCCCATACAGGAGTAGCTCACTTTTATTGAGTTCCTATTGAAGATTTTGTGTAATGGGGATGATTGCGGAAAATGTTTGTCTAACAACTGTAGGAACTTGCGTGCAACGTTCGTACTGACATTTTTGCTGTATGGCGGATTGAACCAAATGATTTTCCTTCGACGCGCTCTTTCTGGTGACGAGGGGTTGATGGTGCGGTCAGTTTGGTAATGCATTTTGAAGTTGTAATTGCTGCGTTTGAGGGCATTCTCATAAAATGATGTTGAGGAGTGGAAGGATGCTTGGTCAGATGACAGGGTGGATATTCGATTGTTCACCGATGTTGGGATTTGTTTGATAATTGATGGAGGGTGATTGGATCTGCTGTCGATGTAGAGGGGATCGTTGTTTGGTTTTCGGTACGGCGAGTATTTCTGGTCTTTCAGGTTTAGGGTGATGTCGAGAAAGTTTACAGTTTGGTTGTTGATTTCGGCGGTTATTTTCAGATCGAGTTGGTGGAAGATTTCGTGTAGATCTTTTCGAGCTTTATCAGCTGATCGACCACTGACACCTTTTAATAATGCTAGACCGTCGTCCCGATACAACCCAACGCCGTTACCGAACTTTCGTTTTAGTTGACTCAAGATACAGCATACGAAAAACTATGCATAATACAAGCAGACCATAGTAAATCCTTGAACAAAAGAAGCGAACTGTTCTCGAAGTGCTGCCACCGGAACAAGTTCAATGCGGGGCGGTTTAAACGCACGCAGAATGGGGCACGAACATCTAAGCGCGCGAGCGCGCGTCAGCAGACCGTTGAAGATGCGTCGCAAGCAAACATTGAACCATGATTGAACTCAATCCTGTATTTGTCGCCTGAAGATCGTCTGACTGTAAAAGGTCAGGCGTGAAACACCGTGTAGCGACGACAATATTTTAAGATAAATTCAACAAATGACTCGCTCTACTTGTAATTAGTATTGAGCACTCTTTTATCCATTACAAACAATTACATTTGGATATATATATATATATATATATATATATATATATATAACCCGTTATATATATATATATAACGGGTGTATATATATATATATATATATATATATATATATACACCCGTTTGCAAAAACGTTGGCCGCAGATAGATATATAGATAGATACCCGAAATCTAATTAGAATTGCATATGTTGTGTAATATGATTGAAATCCCATGCATGCAAATGTATTCATATGCAATTCTAATTAGACTTCGAGTATCTATCTATCTATCTATCTGCGGCCAACGTTTTTGCAAATGGGTGTATATATATATATATATATATATATATATATATATATATATATATATATATATATATATATATATATTTATAAATGTAGTGATAGAAACTATCATGATGACAGAAAGTAACGCGTACAAAATCGAGTGCTCAAAGCTTGCGCAGTGCGGTATAACACAGGATGAGAAACAGCAAAGAGTGAAATATATTTTTTAGTATATGCAAGTATTTGTTTGACCAAGTTTAAGGTCACTATAAACCTGCTATAGTTTAAGGGGCTAATGTAAAAGTTCCGCGGCGAACATAATGGATACACCTTGATACAGTGTAATACTTGCATGGAATCGTGATATTTAACAATTATTGAATGAGGTTGAACATGATATGATGATTATCAAGTTTAAGGCTGAGGTTGATAATGACAAACTAAGGCTTGATAATTCTTCGTATCATGTGAAAACCGAATTCAATATTTGTTTTATTGTTTATTTAAAAGAATGAACATTACAAATTTGAATCGTTCGCTTGAATTTGATTTCACATTCCCGCTACTTTGGGACGTTGATGTCTTCGCCATTTGTGTGACGTCATAACGTGGGATACGACTATTAATCACACGTTAGACGTAGTCAATTTAATAATGTGAACAATACCAACGGATTGCTTATCGATTATGGATCGGGAGGCTTTACAATCTATTTTCAACCTTATCCAGGTGAAGTTTCTTTTGAAACTATAAGGTAATGGTGTGGTAGTTTTTCGTAATTGGTTATGTCTTTGCAAAACCACATATATCAAGCTCATATAGCCTACAAATTAACTGCATTCCTTAAACGCACAATATTAAACAAAATAGACATGCACTCTCTATCTACATTTGGTAGCAAAATATACAGTAAGTTATTTTCCATATCTTCACTATATAGTAAAGAAATATTCCATATTTTCATTATAGCGAAGATATCGATCACGTAATCATTGCTCGTGGTGGAAGATAAAATTCATATCTTCGCCCGCCGTGTAATATCCCATATAATTAGATTAGATATCGTTCCTCTTTCATCGCTAAGTCTTAAGTTGTATCTGTAACTCTGTGTTGTTTAAAAAGTATCGATATGAGTTGCTTATAAACATATAGATGTGCTCATTTCACTTTACCTAATAGCTCGCGAAATGCGGGGAAAAGGTGAGCGTTGATTTCCGCTTGATTCTCCGTTTAGCGATTTCTGAAAATGACAAGTAAATATTTCAATATTCCCAAATAAACGTATAACTTTATTTCCTCCTAGAACTGGTTTGTCCTAGCTTGGCCGAGATTAATAATTTCACGAATGTATGCATTACATGGCAATCCTCTGATGGACTGTTCGTCGTTTACCTGGATGCATGGCAAGCCGAATTACTCCAGGACAATTTATAAAAGAAAATTTCTCCCAGGGGGGGGAACATGGGTCATTGGTCAGGACCAAGATGATATAGGAGGTGGTTTCGAGAAGTCTGGTGCGTTTGGTGGCGAACTGGTTGGAGTGCATATCTGCATGGGACAAAGTCATTTCCTTTCCTGAAATTACTAAGCTTTCATCGTCTTGTGTTAAGATGACCAAAGGAAATTATGTGGCGTTCAGTGATTTTATTATCCATGGAAATGTCACCAGATTTCAACCAGATTGTTGCGAAAATTGATTTGATTCATGATGATAAAAAATAAAATGATAATTATTATAACTTTGTGAATTGATTTACTGTATAACAAAAATGTACAATGCGTCGCTTACCGGTAGAAGGCGAGGTCCAAATGATATTTACTGACTCTCGTTTCAAATACGGTCCGAAAGCAAAGGGCGATTACGCTTCTCGGTTCTCTCAAACTGTAGAGAAATAATTACCCGTAACAGTAGGGTAAAAGTAATTTTTGCTGAAAGACCTGTACGGCTGAATAATTCGGTGGATAATTACCTTCTATGCGGTCTACTTTTTTCGACATGCACCGTTGGTAAAATGTCGGAAAGTGTGTTTTATTATGCAGATGCATGCATGTATAAAGATTCAGGCGCTAACTCACAAAATACAAATCATGCAAACTGATTGGACGAGCGAATTTTGTCACCTGTGAACATTGCAAACAGGATAATAATACATACATGACGTAACTGCAACTTATCAATTGACGTAACATTGCTTAATTTTAATTTCCTATATATAGGTATATAATTATGAGGTTCGATTTCGCGTTTTTTAAGGGTCGGTTTAACTTTTTTTTCGGGTTTATGTTGCTACCGCTCTGTGTATATACAATTATATATAAAATATTTAAAAAATATAGAAAAAAAAAACGATTTAGCAGCAAATTGTTCACATATCTCCTAAGATCGCGCCAATGGATCTTTGCGTGTTATTGTTGAATTGATTTCTATACACGTCGATTAAGCACTCATTACGTTTTTGCTGTTTTGTACGACTTTCTTATTTATTCCTTGTAAATAATCGCTTAACACACTAATTTGCTGCTCCTACTGGCGTCACGTGGGGTTTTCGCTGTAGACTACAACTCGTATATAGGCAGATATTATAAAATTGCGCGCATTCAAACGCGATCATGCACATGTATAACCTCGAATTGAATACTTGAAAAACAAATCGCCTATATTTTCGATAATCCATGGCGCACAATAGCGCCCTCCCCGTATCGGTATAGCACCCTGGCGACGGGTCGAAGCTACTTTCAACCGCCTGGGGCCAGTTGTATCAAGAGCGTTTAGCTTAAACTGTGGATAAGTCAAATATTACACTCCCAAATCTGTCTTGAATGAGTCAACTTGCATATTATGCACTGAATATATGTAGTTTTAAGCAGTGTCGTTGTATTCAGGTTAAAAACATTTAGTTTACTTGTTGAATGAAACGATAGACTCGCTTTCTATTTTGAACTTAACCACCGTTTCAGCTAAACGGGCTTGACACAACCGGCCCCTGAAGATTATTAATTCGAAATGTAAAATTTCAGTCAATTTTAATCTAAAAATATTCACATTTATTCCGCAGCCATAAAAGACAAATTTTAGGCATGTCCATTGCATGACGTTTTATTTAGCATGCATATAAAATATGAACACCTGCCGCAATATTCATTTGTACCGCGGTCTTTACGCCGAAGTGTCAATCGCGTAATATATATGTTCCATGCGAGAGAAAATTTTCACACGGACAATGTGAAATAGGTATGAACATGCATTTCGTGGTATCTCCTAGTCTCTCGTATCTTTTCTTTCTATTATTGGGCATGCTCCACCAAACCAGATGTGAAGAAATAGAAAACTTCTGTTTTGATGGCAACTATGAAGGTAAGCGGTGTAGAATACATAAAATATATATACATTTTAGACTTCAGCCAGTTCGAGCAGTTTTTGTAGTGTATTATTTTCAAATTTGATTGCAATATAGTTAAGTGGGGTGATCTTTCTTGAATGTTATAATTTTATTCTTCAATATTAGCTTCTGCTGGAATAAGGAATTAGTGCATGCATGCGTTAAAAAAACGCTCAATTCGATCGTCATCATTTTCCAGATAACCGACTTCACGTAACGTAGCTTATATATAAGGTCACATTAAAAGGAAATAATGAAGGATAGTAAATAAGAAGGATTGATCGGAAACCTTTCATACAATGCAAATTATCGCAACAATATAATCGTAATATTAGGCTCGAAATTGAAACGAATGTATTATTTACGAATCAACTATAGCTATGCTCTACTCGGACTGATCGCTGACGACGGGCTGATCGCATGTGTGAAAAGACATTTTCGACTGTTGCTAAAATGCCTAAAAGTCAATACAATTTTTGAAGATAAATATAAACGAAACAATTTAATAATATAGTTGCTTTATACATGAGGCAGTTCACTTGACCGTTCACGGTCATACCGAAACGACTCGTAGCGTCAATCTTCTTTCCTTGGCACTCAGATAAAACTAATGACTTTGAAACAAAGGAATACGCTATCGATACGCGTACGATTGACGATTGAAGTGGAAAACAGGCCTTATTCTCCCGAAAGCGTTGTTAACTTCGATATAAGTTTTGAAATATGAACACTTTGTGTAGTTTTTTAGTTAAAGCAAGCAAAGCTTAAAACATCGGGACTCAACCGTAGTCCGTAACCGTGTTTATGATAATATTACGCGCTTTTGTCCCCTTCCATTTTATAACCGCGCGTAAAGCTCTAAGGCCGATGATACTAACAACTTCACAGTGCTTGTGATAAAATAATAATTAATTTCCCATTTGGCTGATTGATATTTCATTAGCTGTATAAGAGCCAGATTGGCTATATATATCATTGTAATTATACTTTATGTATACAATATGAGATGTTACGCATTCTGATTGGCTGAGCTACTCGCTGTATATCAGCTAATATTATACGGCGAGTTAAGGCGGATTTTCATTCAGTACAAAATGTCGCGCGATCGACTTTTTACGACCGCTCGGTTCTATGAAATATAAACAATAATGCGGAACTAATCCATTAGATGAGCTTGACATATCACATTTGAAAAGAAAGGGATCGCAAAATATCAATCGGACGACATTTTGCACTGAATGGAAATCCTCCCTAACAGTCAGGAATAGCTATTGCGTGTTTTTCACTCAAAGTCATTCAAAATTTAAATAGGGGCTCACAGCGAACCCGAAGCCTATTACAACGTATAAATAGGTCCCAGAGTACAGAGTTTATTCATTACTAACGCTGCTTTTCTTTACAATATGCTGTCTTTAGATCGCCGTTTAAACAATACCCGCGTATTGCAGTATCTGCGTTCCAATTCAGGACCTGAATGCGTTTTGCAGTGTCTGAATCGAGACAAATGTTGTAGATCCATCAACTATAAAAAAAGCTCGCAATGTGAGAAGAACTGTGAACTGCTTTCTGAGACAGGCGCCGAAAAACCTGACCGTTTAGTTGAAGACCACGAATATGATCATTATGTTTTGCTACAGCCATCAAGAGTAAGTGATGCATGATACAATATGATACCACAATTTATATATATAGCTGCATAAGGTTGGATCTTTTGAAGATTTTTTTTTTCTGCAAAAAATGCATTATAAAACAACTTAGAAGGTTTTAACAACTTAGAACAACTTTTAGGTGCGTCTACGTACAGCACGAAAACATGAGGCGCTTCGAAACTGAGTTGTCATAGGTCTTGAGTCATTTGTCACCATTTTTCCACAAGAATTGTAGGACAGATTTGGCTTATTTCTGACCCGTTCTTGTGCTCAGATCAGCGATTAATATTTTTCATTTGTTCAATAAATGATTGTAAGTGAATGACCACATTATTTTTGTGAATAAAAAGTCTTAGGGAATTGAAAATTATCATACTCATTACCAAAAATTTCCGACTTATGATTTGTGTCGCATGTATATACTAATTTGCATTTAACTCATACATAATCGTCTTCATGCAGCTTTTAGTATATGATACATAGAGAATAAAAGGACAAAATTTAAAATTCTTGGACCTTGCCCACTGTTTGCCGACCAGATCTGGGTATATACCTTGGGTATTTTTGAGATCACAGAGAAAATCCGGACCGCACATGGAGAACAATTTGATTATAACAGGAATCTACGCAACGACTGGAGAACAATATCTTACGGAAGAAAATTTCTTGGTGGCGTAGCTACATATTGCACGTCAACTCATCAAATACCTGAATAGAAATATTGACAGAGTATGAATTCATGTGAGCGAGAGAGAGAGAGAGGAGAGGTCGTTCAGAGAAGACGGCCAAAACTTTGAGCAATATGTTTTTTAATTAATTGGAGGATAGCCGAAATACCCAGGCTAAAAAACGTTTCTAGACCACCCTTATTATGTAAGATTATGTAAGAATGAAGCGAAAATTAGTACACATTTCGTTCCCTTCATATTTCCTGATACATTTAAATACAAATTAAACATTCACGTCACACTAAATTTCTGTGTGTGCCGCAATAAATTCTATGCAAACGTTGTTTGCTATGCATGTATGTTTACATTTTTGAGTATTTGGAACATAGCAGCATTTTGGACTTCTAAGACATAATTACTGAAACATGGAATCATTATTTTAAACGACACTTATTTTCTATTCAGTGCAACACGCCAACGGGCTAATCGCTTACGTTTTTCAAAAATTCGAGGTGAAGTCAGTCAGCGCGGTGGATGCATTGCAAAACCAAATACCGTTGTTATATTTTAAGAACATGTAATATTTAGTATAAATGTGAACCTCTCTCTTCGGGAAGAAGTTTTTTCCCCACAATTTAATTAAGTCAACCATGAGGTAACAATAACGAATTCAGTGAAATCAATGATTTAAATTTCGCGGTCTCCTTATATAACAACTTTTAAAGCTTTAAATATTAAGGCTTGTTTACACTTGCGATTCTTGCTTCGATTTTATGTGCGATTTTCTTCTTTTGATAGATGTGAATGAGTAATTAGTTATGAATGCTTTTTTTATCTTTTTATTTAATTGAGCATCGTAGCTAAATTCACTAATTCACATCTATCGAAAGTAGAAAAACGCTCATAAAATTGCAGCCAAAATTGCAAGTGTAAAAGGGCCTTAACAACTTTAATAATAACCATTTGAAATATTTAACAATGAAATAAATTCTGGGCAGGGCACCCGTACCCAATTTTATTAGTGTTCAGGCTACCAAGACAAACGTTATAGGCCGAGCAGGATACGCACGGGTACCGATTTTAGTGGTGTATTTAAAGCGGTGCTTATCCGTAGCTCAACCGTCTGAAGTTGAAAACCATACGGTTTATATATAACTTTAAGAAGAGAGGTGAGCTAACTTGTGCCCTAATTTTTTTTTTTTTAAATTTTCTACAACTTTATTAGTGGTTTTAGAACCATTACAAACTGCCCTCTTGCCCTCACTAACTCATTTTAGTTCTTATTCCACATAATTTGCAATTACCAATTGTTTCCATCCAGGAACAGACAGTATCCTGGTGTCCCGATTCTCCATGCCTGAATGGTGGAACCTGTCTTGGTGGATGCGGAATGGGAGATTCGTACTGTAAATGCCCTCCTAAATATGAAGGAAAATATTGTAATTATCTTTGTAAGTATGCGTGATTTTAATTGTTCGAGCGAATTGCAGTTTGAATTCCATTGCCTCCTATAACGTGACAGCATTTATCTTTAAAATGTGATCGTAACCTCTTCAGTACTAGCTCTTCAGCCTATTGTAAACGCAAATGAAAAAGCATGCAATGCTGTTCACATTATTACGTCATAATGGGCGTACGCGGGAAAACGTCTGCACACGCGGGAAACTGAGGAGTTTTTTCTTGTTTCGTCACCACTGAATAATTTTTCACACATCCGATTTGATTCGTGATTCATGATTTCACACATGCAATTTAAAGTATTCCTTCTCTCCTTGCATATTAAGTGGACTATTTTTACAGCAGGTTTTTCTTCAGATTCTATTTTTCTTCAGATTCTATTTTTATTCACTCAAATTAATATGCGATATTGAAGGGTTTAATGCATTAGAACACTCGACTTTATATCACCGCATAAACTACGCAAAACATCCCCCAACAAAGGAATAAGTCTGTGGAATAATCTTCCCAGTAAAAAACATAGGTCTTATCCTTCCTTTAAATCAATATACAACCAAATATAACAAAACAGAGTGTATAAAAAATGTCCCAAATGGGAAATTTCCGTTTTTTCAGGGTATTTTGCAGAATTTTGGAAATTTTTGTGTTCCGAGGGATAGTTAAGACTTATCTGGTATACCCGGGGCATTTTTGTTTTTTCACTAACGAAACTATTTCAACGGGGGGGGGGTGGTTCCTATCCACTGATATTGAGAGGGCTTGCGAGGGAAATATTATTTAACTGTTTAAAAGTATATAGGAAAGGTTTTTAATATATGGTCAAAGTTTCAGGAAAAATAATGCGTACTAGGAGCAACGCGCGACCCCTAAAGGTGACGAATATTTCATTGCACGCAGTGGATTAAATGCATCGTGTTTTTTTTAGCGTGACCGATCTCATGCATGCAAGCGTGGGCAAATAAATAAATTAAAGCGAGAAACTGAACACAAAAACAAAGCGATTTATTTGTGATGTTTATCCTCAGCATGTCCACCATTTCTTTTATTTCTTTCTAAGCAAACTGCGGCTCGTCTCCGCAAGATAAACACTGAACGGCGAAGCCGAACCATTTGTCTGTCCATTCGCCTAGATTTGCCGGTGGTAGCCTAAGCGATTTGCAAGAAAGAATTTCGAAGGAAATGGAGAATTTGAGGCAGGAGAGACAAATGGTTCGCCGTTTAGGACATTTAGTTTTTTGGAGGCGAATTGCAAAAATAAAAAAGATCTGCAAAGGCAAAATGAAGGCTTTCCTTTTCGTACCATTCAATGTTTTGCGATTAAATTTGAACTAATTTGTTTACATTGTTAACTGTGCTACACATGTTTTCAGGCTTCCATTTCAGATAATTCACTCACATATTTGATATTCAAGGTGCCGATGGATTACGCTTTCGTGGCGGAAATACCGAAGAATATGGAATTCTTAATGCATCATCGACTGACTTGACCTCATTCACTGCATGTTTTTGGATGAGAACCGCTGGAATATCTGGCAAATCAATCCTATCGTATGCATATAAACTCGGGGATGATGTTGTTCAGAACGGTTTTCTTATCAATTCTCGAAAAGAAGGTTTTGAAATCTATTTCGAGCCATACAATATCTCTGGTAACCATTATGTAAGGTACAGTATTTCACTTCCAAAATAATATACCCAAAGTCTCAAAAAAATACACCGCTTCATGTTTCAGCGGAGTTTCTTTTAACACAATACACTAGAGGTTTATTTCATTATTACGCAATATCAACTCTTCACAGGACTGGTTTGCTCTTGGCCGACACCCAAAGTTTCAAGCATGTATGCATTACATGGCAATCCTCTGATGGACAGCTCGTCATTTACCTGGATGGCAATCAAAATTATACAACAATTCGTAAAGGAAAATTACTCCCAGGTGGGGGAGTATGGGTCATCGGACAAGACCAGGATAGTCTAGGCGGAGGTTTCGAAGATGCTGGTGCGTTTAGTGGGGAACTGGTTGGAGTGCATATTTGGGACAAAGTGCTTCCCACCGCTGAAATTATGAAGCTTTCATCGTCGTGTGTTGAGATGGTCAAAGGCAATTATGTGGCGTTCAGCGATTTCAAAATCCATGGAAATGTTACCAGATTTTCTCCAGATTGTTGCAACATAACCTTTGGTAACTAATTTTCTCAAGCATGATAAAATACTGATCAGTCGAGAGGATTACAATATTTTATTAATTATATATATATATATCTTTTGTAATCTATGGCAAATATTGCAACACAACTTCTCATGATTGAAATTTTGCATGGTAATTTTAGATCTACCGGGTGCATAAAAAAGACCTTAATTTAGAAATTAACCTTTTGTTATAATTTAAATGCCTTTGCCGGACAGTTGTTTTATCGAACATTTCAAATGAATTGATAGTATAAGTTATAATGAGGCAACGAGGGATATTTGATTTGAACCAGTATTAACCACATATCCCCGATGTGTCTCAAAATAACGTACGGCTCATTTTTCACATTGGCGAGGTTGCATTATAATATAACAATAGAAAGCAAACGCTTTTATTCCATGTCGAATTGATAGAACAAAATAATTGTCTTCTGAAAAACGAGTCATAAATATTGGGGGGAGTATTAGAGGGGAATATTGCACTATTGAACTCATGAGTATATTCCCCGACAAGAACAAAGAAAACCGAGCAATGTGAAAAATAATGGTTATTAGTAACGCACGTTTCATAAGTTACCCAAAATGTGTTGCGGGCTTATATTTTTGAAAATGCGGGCTTATATTTTTGAAAGAAGTTTTTAGTGAGTATCTTGTGCAAACTTATGGTGTTTTTGAGGAATTGAATTCGTAAGAAAGATATTACTTCAGATATTCGAGGAATGCTTTTGAAGATGGAAATACAATGTCTAAAAACTTTTAATGTTTGTCACATCTTAGTGGAAAAAATATGAAAAGGGACAGTAACCGTACGTAAACTAATAAATTATTGTGCCCAATATTGGCTTTTAAAATGCTTACATATTTGTAAATTCTTTGTACATTATATATATTTACTTGTTGTGAAATATTCTAGTTTGTCAATTATCAGAGTTTTCCATGAGAGAGTATTAAAAATTTTAACTGTAGACTGATTGTAGTTATATGTATACTTTCAATATACGTTGTTCACGTGAGAATCTCCTGGATATTTGAGGAGCTTATAGCTATATATGCCTTCTGCAGTTATTGTCATTATATCTTCGTACTTAAAACAAAAGAAATAAATTTCTTTTCATTTTGTTTTGTTTTTTCACTTTCGGTTCGAATTTATATTTATCAACAGCACAAATGTTTCGACCGCAATCGCTTGTCAATCGCGTTCTTTAGACCAGAAAAAGAAAATGCTATAAGTGAAATATAACATAAATTTCAGAAATCGAACTTAAATTTATATTACATTTCAATCAACTTTTAAAATATCACTCACTCCGGAATCCGAATTACGAGCCAGCAAGTTTACGGTCAGCAAGTTTACGCATGAGCAAGGCTCAGTGGAGCAAGGACGTGATCGAGAGCAAGAGGTGGGAATTTTGTCCGAGCATGCGCGAACAAATAAGGGCGTGTACTATGTGCATGGCGTGCGCGTGACACACGCGAGAAAGTTTTCCCTTAGAACCGCGGAAAATTAAGAAATTTTCTAAAGAGTTCAAAAAGCAAAATAAACAAAACGAATACACTGAAAACTAAAGCTTCGCTTATTGTACTCTTGTTTTCTCTTGAGCACGATATTTTCCACTTTTGCCGGTAGATCAAAGAGGAACAAAGCATGTTTCATTCGTGGGATAATAAATTGTATTTTAAATCAAAACAATAGGAATTTCACACTCGTTGGATGATCGGGCGGAATCGGGCTAAGGATTACTCCAAACAGATCGGCACCCTTTAACCAGTAATCATCAAGGCATCAGTAGACCATTTCATCTTATATGCAAGTCACGTGGTCTGAAATAGTTACGTTTTAAATGGATTCAAGCTGAAATGGTCTATTGTCCATCTGGGATTCCCTTTGTCTGAGGTTGCTGGTGCGCAAAATGCTTTCTCTATCGGAAAGTACTTCAATGGATCCCCGCTTAGGAGCTAAGAATCTACAATTATATATAACAATGTAACTTGATTCAAGCTGAAATGGTCTATTGTCCATCTGGGATTCCCTTTGTCTGAGGTTGCTGGTGCGCAAAATGCTTTCTCTATCGGAAAGTACTTCAATGGATCCCCGCTTAGGAGCTAAGAATCTACAACTATATATAACAATGTAACTTGTTATTTTAAATATAATTGCATATAAATGTTTTCAGTAGATATTTATACATAACTTTACATAACTAGGGACCAACCCCAATGGGGGCCAACAGCCGCGAACATGACTGCCAAGCATGCGAATCATTAAGTAGAGTGGAGAATCATTAAAATGTGTGCTCTATGTAACCCACATTTGAGAAGTCATGTTTGTCCATATCTAAAACATCATCAATTTTATCGATCTTTATTAACCACTGAAAATTTGAGGGCGACTCGAGATGCCCAACTATGTTCCCGAGAAAGAATATTTTTGCGATGGTATGAGAAAGTATATATTCTTAGCATAATGCTGATTCTATGATTTCTATCTACTATTAGTATAAACTTACTAATAGGCTATCACTTTTCCTGCGTTCTGATTGGCTACGCTACTAGTAGGCTATTAGTGATAGCCTACTAGTAGCAAAATTGAAAACAATGGCGGAAAATTCGCGTTTCGCCGAAGTATCTGAAGATTTTTTGGACGACTTGTTGGACAATTCCGTACCAGAAAAAACAAAAAAAGCAACAAAATACGGAATTGCAATTTTTAAGGGTAAGAAAATACATAAAAATAACGTATACTCAATTGAATTTTTATATTTAAACTGAATTTTAAAACATTTTACGCGAACAACAATTAAAATATTTTCTTCCCTTTAATATACGAAATAAATTTCAGAATGGTTTGCAAGCCAACAGGAATTTTGTACACAAATTGAAGAAATGGAAAAAGTCGAGCTTTCTCTCTGTCTGAAAAAATTTTATGCCGCTGCAAGAAAACAAGACGGGAGTGAGTTTAAAGTTTCAACCCTTCGTGCAATAAGATCTGCCATCGACCGCTATCTAAAACAACCGCCTCAAAACAAACCCTGGTCCATTATCGGCGACCCTGTGTTTGAACAAGCTAATAAAACACTAAATGCTATCTGCAAGAAACTCACTCGAGAGGGCAAAGTCGGTCCGGTTATCCACAAGCATCCGATAACAAGCGAGCAACTACAAAAGCTGTACGAAAGCGGCGAACTTACCGACTATGACTCCAAGAACCCTCGGAAGCTTTTACAAACGGCTTGGTTCTACGTTACGTTTTACTTTGGTAAACGAGGGAGAGAAAACCAGAGAAAGCTCACGAAAGATATGCTTGTTCTCCACACTACAGCACAAGGCCGACGATATTTTGAATTTCGACGCGACCGCTTGTTAGGAACAAAAAATCACCAAGGAGGCCTCAACGACAACACGGATGAATCAGACGGGAAGATGTTTGAAGTGGTCAATTCCCGACGGTGCCCAGTGAAAACCATTGAAAACTTCTTGAGCCATTTACATCCAACGCAACAGGTCCTATTTCAACGTCCACGAGAAATGTCCACCAAGTTTCAGCCAGACAAGGACGAGATCTGGTATTCCAATAGTCCCCTTGGCGAATGCAGTCTAGCCAACATGATGAAAACCATATCTAAAGCAGCTGGAATAATCCCACATCTAACAAACCACTGTGTTCGAGCAACATCAGTCACGGTACTTTCAGACAGCAACGTAGAGGCTAGACACATCAAGGCAGTCACTGGACATAAATCGGATACTTCAATCCAGGCGTACAACGCAAGAGCATCATTCCAACAAAAAGAAAATATGTCAAATATTTTAAGTCGTTTTATATCTGGAGACGCCGATCAATCCACTCGTAATATCGTCGCAGCATTAGAAACCACTTCCAGCAAAGTGTCACTTCCAACAACATCCACTCTGACAGTGATGCCTTTGAGTTTGAATAACGAAAATATTCAAAAGGAAACCAATATCGAGATGAGAGGACCGCAGTCGTACAGCTTCCATGGCTGCACTGTTTCGATCGTAAACAACAATTATTCTTCTTAACTGCTGGTTCATCGGAGACTTTGTTGTGAAATAACGGTGTGATTTATATAAATACTGTAATATTTCTTCTCTAATATTTTCTTTGATAAATAATATGATGATATTCAAGACGACGTGTTGAAAACAGTTGAAAGTTGAAACTTGACAGTTCTAAAATGTCGCATATTGTAACGCGTGACCTGGCGCGTCATTTCCGGGAGAATTTAAAATTCAATTTTAATACTTTTGTGTATTTTTGTATTGTGTTTCCTAGTTGTAAATTAATGTTATAGTTTATACTAAAACAATTAGACAACTCGGCCTCGTTGTCTATGAGCAAATAGTCAACTCGGCTTCGCCTCGTTGACTATTCGCTCATAGACAACTCCGCCTCGTTGTCTAATTGTTAATTATACTATATCAATTTATTTATAACTGTGTTTTATCAATTTATTTATAACTGTGTATAATCGGGCTGTATCTGTATCAGATTATATAGTTGGTTGATAAAATAAAAAGCAATGGCATGTTGTCTTTCCCGAATTGAGAAACCCTGGTCTAAGTAAGAACTGAAAACTTAACCGCATGAGCCCACATACCTCACCGCTTACCAACATACATTTCTGACCACGTCATGAAACTAATTTAATGTCGGGTTTGTTCACAAATTGTTTCAGCTCAGTTGAATAAACTTTGGCAAATAAAATTTTTTATGCATGCTGCGATAGTGAATTGACTTAAAACAAGCAACGGGGAATCTTTGATAAAATCAGAAATCTGTGGTAAAATGAGAAATCTTTGTTAAAGATGGGAAATCTTTGATGAATGGAAGGTAACAAGAAGGAAATAAATCAAATAAATCACCACAGCTAAAAAGATCATACTGAAATTAGTATAATAGTTTGGCCGCAAAATATTACGGAAAGTATAGCCATGAAAAGTAGCCAATTCTGTAAATACATTTTCACTACGGCCGGAAGCGTTTAACTAATTTAGTTACACACTTCCGGCCGTAGTGAAAAAGTAAACAAAATTGCCAACTTCGCAAGGCTATATTTTCCGTACTTTACAGTATTTTGCCGCCAAACTTGGTAATTTTACTAATTTAGTATGAACTTTTCGGAAATTTCCTTTTTGTTGCCTAAATCAAAAGTTGGTCTATTACGCCAGTAAACTGTAAAGTTTTGTTTTCGAGGGGCCAAATGCCGAAAGCGGGGGGGGGGTCATATTTCTCAAAAGACTATATTTTCTGAAAAGAAACGATTTTTACGCGGTAAAAACTTCAAATTTACTCCATGCAGTTTAGCTAAATACAAAGCAAAAAATACTTTCACGTAAATTTTACTGCATGCGATGTCGTAACATAATTTTGCATCCTGCCAAAGAGTTCTACGTTTTCAACGCTATGTACACTTGTAAAGAAAAAGAGGCTAAAGCACTTAAAACACGGGACTTGATGGTGGTTCAGGAACACGTCCTGAATTTTCACCAGCAGCTAAGGAGGTCCCTGGAGCACGAGGCGTCGCTGGAGCGTGGTTTTGATTCCTTGAGGAATTGTTCGACTGTTCCAAAACCATTTTGCATGTTCCTAAATGTCTTTTCATATTGCATTTCTGGGTAAACCTTGAATCACAAAATTCACACTTGAAAGGCTTCAGTCCGAAATGCAGTTGTTTGTGTACTGCCAACGAGTTTATATTCGCTAAAGTTTTGTCACATTTATCGCAAGTAAGTTCTGGATTTACGGCGTCCCCTTTGGTCTTTGGCTTAGGTTTCTCCTTTGGCTTTCGTACAACAGGCACACCTTGATGTATGTATCTGTATGAAATAGAAAGTAGTATCCAAAGTATTACAAACATCATTACTCGAAATTCCTGACATTCCTGGTTATATTGGATAGTAATCAAATAGGTAGCTAAACTAATGGACGATTGAAACTTAAGTCACTGATTACTCTGGGCATTTACGCTTCTGATAAATGATAATGCGCCAGTTGCTACCTACAGGGTGTCTCAAAAAAAAAAACGCAACCACTTAAATATGCAAGAACATTAATACAGCTCTAAAGCGCAATAGATAAGCACCTCTGTGAATTGAAAATGGCTCTTAATCCTTCATTTAAATTGCTAAAAGTCATTTTAGCTGAACTATGGTGCAAACCCGAACAATATTTATATTCGTACATATTTTAAGTGGTTGCGCTTTTTTTTAAAACACCCTGTATATCATGTACAAGGCTTTTTCAGGGTCTAAACAGTGAACTTCGCTGAACTATGAATGCTTCCTTTTTATAACACCTTATTAACGTGCTTGATTGCTTTCTATCACCTGGTATTGAATAAGAATTTGGTGTAGCTGTGCAAAGACATTATCGATGAATTAGTATTTACATCATATACAAGGCACGGGAGCCCTCAATAAGATAAATTTACCCTGCAAGCGACGTCAGGCCTAACACAAGATGCATAATGCATATCCAAGATGGCGGAATGTACCGTCATTATTGCTAGAAATGAGCGAAATATTCTAAAGAACCGCAATGTTCTTTAACATAAATTAAGACATAGATAATTGAAAGAAAAAATATTAACGTCATGGAATTTTTTTTCAGATATAAATAACCAATTGAAATAAATTTACAACCAGGAAAATTTCTCAATACAGGTAGAAATAGCATCCAAAATTTAGCATATAATTTGCTAGTTTTCGAAATATCAAATATTGAATTGCGGAAAGTATAGCCGTGCAAAGTTGGCTTATTTTGTACTTTCTGCGGTAAAGCGTTTACTTTTCCACTTTATACACGAGGATCTGCGACTTCGCATGGCCGATTCTTTTCACATTTTTAATTAATTCGACAACAAGTTGGAATGTGGGATGGGATTTATTGGGAATGATGAATAGAACTTAAAAAAGTTAAATATACACTTACTTCATATGTTTAGCAAGATTTGTAACATGACTAAACATTTTACCGCATAGTTCACAGGGAACGTGGTAGTTCTTATGTGTCCTTCGGTGAACCTTTAGATACCAAGCACTTGTAAAGTTTTTGCCACACGTAGTGCAACCGAATGGATTTTCTAGTTTATTCTCCCTCAGAACCTTTGATTCTCTTGCTGCTCTAGTTGGTCTGATTTCCCGCCCTACTTTCGAGTCTTTTGGTGATTTATTTTCTGCCAGGATGTTGGATTTTGAGTCGTCGCTTTCTTTTGCAGGACTCGAATCTTCTTTTTTAATAACACAACGCAAGTACCTATATTAAAAATATTCGTTAATTTCATTGATAGATTAATCGCAAAATTAATTTTACGGTCGAAAAAGGCCATGTTGCACGGTGCAATTTTTCTTGCAACTTGCAATGCAATTCTACTTCTCAGAGATGTAAATTAGTGAAGAGTTTTGCAGAAGTTTAGTGCATGAAGTGTAATAAACACAAAAGCTTATATTGTAGAGCTACAGTGGTGATCAAAAATCTGAGTTCAGTCGATAATTTTTCTTATATTGAAATCCTAATTTAGATTTAGGATTAGGTAAAGCATAGTGACCATAAACCTAATCCAAGACCTAATCCTAACCCTGAATTATTACCGCAAATCTTACTTGCCTCAATAGGCTGAAGTATAGTGAAGTGCGATAAAATTTACAAATCTCGATAGAATTCATTGAGCAAAATAAAGCTACCCGTTCCCGTATATAGAAGAGTTCTCAATGTAAGAGAACAGTAGATACGGAACAGCTTTTGACAAGTATGTATAAACTCGAGAAAATATCGTGTGCTATACACAAATTGTCTCATGTATCGCATACTGAAATGTCGGTGTTAAAAAGTTTAGCCACGATTTACTGCTTGTTTTCTTAACGCGCTTGGAACTATATTGGTTGTCGCAGTTTTCATCATATACCTTATATGTTTTGAAAGCCCTGATCTCGTCATGAAAATCTTTCCACAATCATCGCATCTATTGAGTTCTCGTTTCTTCTCCTTATGAACTCTAAAACACAACATGTGTGGCAGTTAAAACCTGATAGCATGCATATGTGCACTCATATGTTCATGAAACGTTTCCTGAAGATGCAATGGCTAGGTCATTGCTTTTCACAACAACGACAAGCTGCGATGAAAAATAGTGCACGTGATCTGAAATAGCGGGAAAGACTGGGACTAGTTGTGGTCTACTTCTCGGTTGAAACAACTTGATATCTCTTGAAATGCACTACTTTATTTTGGTTTCAAATTAATTCATGTCAGAGCTATAGTCCTTATATGTAAGCATAATCACAAAATTTTGACTAGTTACATAAAGAAAAACAAGCGATTAAATACTGCAGAAAGGATTTCTATTTTGACAACCCTTTTGAGCTGAAATATGAGCGCCACAAGACACACTCTACGAGAGTAATCTTGGACCATGACAAAATGAAAACTGGGCCTATACTAAGATTGTATATAAAAAATAAAATGAAAACGTAGTCGTAGATATTTCAAGCCATGGACCTTCCTCTGGTCGGTCTTCTTGTACATCATTAAACGTGCCTTTGAAACGGAATTATACGACCACTATGTTTTATATTTTCTATTACGCAACGTTACAATTAAAAAGTTTAATCGATATAAAAAGCGAAGATTTCACGAATACAGATGAGAAGCAAAACCAGCAAACTACAAACCCAAAAAAATTGGCGCGAAACTACAAAAAACTACATACATCAGATGATGTAAGATATCATCCGCAAGAATATAAAACTTACTGTACCTCATATGCCTATTTAGTTGGAAATGATTTTGAAACGGCCGTTGACATTGAGAACACTTGTATTTCGCTTCGATTTCCGGTACAGAAGCAGGGAGAGTTATTGGTGGAACCGTAGATTGAGTTGTGCTTGGTTTCATAACGCTCTGTTTCCCGGGACTGTCACCATGCAACGTCTTTTTATGTTTACTGAGATTGCCAGCGCTAGAAAACACGCAGCTGCAATCCCCGCAGGAATAAATGCGAGCATTGCCCGAATGCTGTTGCAAATGTTCGATGTATAATTCACGACTCGAAAACGAGGCTTGGTTACAACCACGCCGACGGCATAAGAACTTCTCTTTGGTCAAGCGATTGTCTGTCGCTGTTTTCTCCGCATGCGCTTGTCTGCAATGACGAGCTAAATTACCTACATGGAGAAATAAAAAAGTTTTAACATCCTTGAAATTTTGCATGGTGAAATGATAAGTTTTATAATCAATTTTTGGGAACACTATCTATATTTCTTTCCTGCAGAGTTTCGGTCTGTTAACCCGGGCCTTTATCAGTGCAATACTGAAGGCGCTTCATTTGCAAAACAAATATATGTGGTGTTTCCAGAAATTGCTTATTTAACTTTAATAAAAAAGTTCTCATCGACTCAAGATTTGATAAGGGGTAGTACTGCTACGTGAGTCAAGGTTCAACTGAAAAGTAAGCCTCATACATGGTAGCAACTCTCACGTGAATTGCTTAACGACATCAGGGGCCAGCTGTTCGAAAAAGGCGGATAACTTCAAAATGGAAAACAAAATGATTTATTTCTTAAACAACTGAGCTGAAATATTTCGATGTAAATGTTTAATTTTCAACGGAATCGCATAAGATGTAGATTCAGTCATTAAACATTGGCTTTTTTGTCGTCTACGCTGAAAGCTTTTCGAACAACCAGTCCCTGATGAGAAGTAATTTGAAAGAAAGGAATTCGTGATCATTGCATGTAACTGGTCGAATAAGTACACTTTCATATATGAAACATTTGAATGTAATGATCTCGCTAATGGATGCTAAAAATACTGGAAAATAACTTGGAGAAGCCAAGGTATAGATATAAATATTGGTGAAGAATTTGAGCATTACGATATTTTGTGATGGTTTCCAGTAGCCTATCGCAGCGCCCAGCCAGAACATCAATGATAAAAATCTACCTCGCTGGGTGAACGTTTTATCACAATATCTGCAGCTAAACGGCCTGATTCCTTTGTGGACAACGGCTTGATGTCGACGTAAGAGGTTCTTCTGCGCAAATACTTCACCACAATCGTTGCATGTAATTGGTAGAATGAGCACGTGTTTCCTGCGGTGTATCTAAAAAGTATGAGAAACAAAATTATAGAATACGGTCTCTGAACAACAGAACATATATATTGTTTGTACTACAGTGAGCGCGGAGGGGTCTGGAGCGCACTAACTGATTTTTTATTGTCTTAAAATACAATAGACAATACCCGAACATATAGAAAAAGATATCACAAAAAGAATCACTACACTGACTATAAAACTAGTTGAATCTTCAAGCCATTACAGTCCTACTTTAATTGCTCTTTGATATGGGGAGTCGGTGATAAGTGTTAATCCATGGGTTTACATACTTTATACACCTTGCGTGCTATAGAGATATTTCACTATTGGGAAATCACTGGAAGAGGAGGGTGGTTGTTTGCAAAACAAAGGGTTCCCCTAAACACATTCTCAAATATTGCGACCCGAAATAATTGCATGCTGTACAGTTACAGCCCGCCTACATCCGAATAATGACTTGAATTCCCATAAAATGATTCTTGTGTTAACTTGATTTCTCAGTTTTAATAGAACAACAAGTTATGAACAAGCTATAAACACGTTAATAGGTTATAAACCATCACGTCCATGATATAGGGGATCCATTTTTGTGGCGGTAACTGGACAAGAAGTGCAAACTACATAGCTGGGCGACAAATTTCATCAAGATTTCCGCTTACTTTGAAGAGTTGGCTACACTATATCCAAAAAACATGCACATTTCGTATTAAAACTTGCATGAATGGTTTACCTCTAGGTACTTTTCTGTATTGAACGTCTCCGGGCATTCCGAGCACTTAAACAAACGTCTTTTTTCCCGGACAGCAAAGCCGCGTTTTTCATGTTTCTTCTCGTGCTTCCGAAGATTACTTATGCTGGAGAAAACTTTTGCACAAACACGGCATGTCACACGTGACGACTCGTAGTGAAATGTCATATGTTCCTTTAAATATGAACTTGTGTAGACCTTCTTGCATATAGAACACTCTGCCGTGTGTGCTGTTTCCATATGATTGTTTCGTTCTTCCACGGTAACAAAACTTCCTCTACAGCTTGTACATCTAAAAAGTACAAGCAGTTTACTCTAATTTTACGTAAATCCACATCAAAACCACCTGTATATAGTCATTTACACCAATACTCGTTGAATATGACACAGAAGTTCTGTTATTATCGATAAATGTGAAGACCCTTTTTTAATCAATGGAAATATTTAAGGTAAAACACTGAAAAACAAACTCCTAATCGAATTGAAATACCAACATGGAGTCCCAACGACGCGATTAAAATCTCCCATTTAATGAGTGTGAGTGAGCCGTTCGGAAACAAATGCCTTGTTTGGGAATTTACAATTGCACACTATTCCGTCCTCTAACCTGGAATTTTATCAGTGAATACAAAAATCCAGATATAACTTTTTCACCCGATTTGAGCAGGGTCATGCAGAATGCGTATCGGGTCATTTATTAGGCGAGAAATCCTAATATAGGTCTCCAGAATTATATTCAACCAATACCCTTACTAACAATTGGCCAGACGTTATCAAATTTAATAATATTCTTGTATGTTTGCATGGTGACATCAGTAAGTAATTTTGCTTGTAGGTACACCACGTAAGTATTTAATACGCAAAGCTTTCGGTCCGTTAAACCGGGCCTTCATCAGTGCAATTACCTGAATACACGTTTACACGTCACTTAATGTGTACGTAGGTCATTGCACTGATGAAGGCCAGGGTTAAGGGACCGAAAGCTTCGCAATATTAAATACTTACGTGGTGTAACAAACAAGCTAAATTACTTGTTATCAAATTTGTCATGATCTGTTCGCTCATGTCGATCATGAATCAAATCGAAGCCTACCAGAATCATTAGCGAAGAAAACAAGGTTGGTCAAACATTTCGAGAGAAGACTAAAACTATCTACTATACCGGCCTGATAATTATCTAGATCATACTGTACTTTTGCAAAAGAATATGTACTTACTTAAACAGTTTTCCTTCCTCGTCAGCAACGTGCGCAGGACTGATTTGCGTGTAGTTTTCGTTTAAAGGAATTTCTAAACAAAAAAATCATAATGCGATAGTGCTACAGGGAGTGACGAACCCGGCAACCTGAAAATCAAACCCGCGATCTTTGGTTTACTGAAGTTCTTAAAACAATTACCAAATGGTTTTCGTAGAATTGCATGATTATTACAAATGTATCTCCCATACACTTGAGATCAATGGGATGTTACACTACTTACAACAGAAGGCATGAAAATAAAATCGTGAACCTCGAATCTTATGAAATACGCTTTTCTCAAATGGTGACTAAATCAAATTGACTGACATTAGAAGATAGGCGAATGAAACAAAAATCTTGTTTAATGTTCAAAGTATCTCACAAATTAAACCTATCTTATCTAACTCGGCTGCTTGATCGAGCAAACGTAGCTAGTTCACAGTCATTGTAAACTTGCAAAGAAGACTAGCCTTAATATAATGTTCTAGAGTTCATGGAATTTATTACCAATTAAAATCAGGAATTCCAATTCAATCAAATTCAAAACTTGTAAAATAGATGTTAAGAGGTTACTGTACATATAGTATACGTTAATGTACATTTTGTGTACTGTATGTATTGTAATTTTCAAAATGTCACGGTGCCTGGGAAGATAATCTGAATTAGGATGACAGGCGTCACAGGCCTAAACAAATTTCAACGTGCAACAACAACAACATTCGCCCACGCTTGTGTATTCTCCCGCTTTCCGAAAGTCTCGCAACCTTTCTCGCAACCAATGCAGAGAGGAAAACCATTTGGTTTTGGACGTACAGTCAAAGGTTTCTTAAATTGCACACTCGCGAGTCTTTTCACGTTCCCTCGTGGGGCAGTGTCTCTACAACTGGATTTTCACAGTTTTTTTAGGAGTCAGGTCTACACATAAATGGAATTTTATAACAAATCTGTGGTCACTTTTACCTGTGAAGCCAGAAAATGTAACCATTTTCCTATATAGCAGCTATAAATGCAAAACATGCATGTTACGGCAGACTTACTTGAATCCTCAATGGGCGGGTAGTAGGTCTCCGAGACATCAGCTGTCATCACATTGTAAGTTGGTTTCACATCTTCTGTCGACTCCGTTTCGTTTCCATCGGCGCTGACATGATTATCAACATGATTTGTCATTTCCAAAGAAAAAGCCGGTGATCGCTGTTCGTGAATTCGCGCAAGGAACTCTGGGCCTACCGTTGTCCTATGAAATAATTGAGCGTATATATAATTTTTTTCGTGTTCATTTCATCAATCACCGACGACTACTTTTAGTTTTTCCCAAGCAAATGTTTCCGGAATTTCACTTTGAATATCCACCCAAATATACAACTCAAACATATTGCAAATTTGAAGGAACATATGTCCTAAAAAACGACGGGTTAAGATACGTCTATGAATAATTATTTTGTTCACTAAATTTTTCGTTATTTATATTATTAATAACGCAAATTTTGTTTGTCTTAAACGGTATGGCCTACTGGAAAAGTTTTGCTGAAGTGACAAGAAACTACCAGTAAATATCTACCTAATGTGCATGATCGAGTTTTGTGATATTCTGTAACAACTTTTTTAAAATCAATTGCTATAAGTTCATTGTTTTTTATTGTTATATCATCAACCAATAGCAAAGGTTGCCCATATAGGTAGGTGCCAGTAGATAACCCCCCCCATATAGCTAGCAAAGGGTGCCGACACAATAGGTTCACGTGAACAAAAATCACGATTCACGTGGACAAAGACCATGCGTTTGCACGTGGGCATGGGTCTTGGATCATGTGAACAAAGAAGTCATGATTCATGTGGACAATGACCATGAGGTACATGTGAACAGGGATCATAGATCATGTGGGATGGAGATTTTCCATCACGTGAATAGGAATCAATCATTGAACATGTGTACAGTAGGATGCATTTAGAGTGTAAATGAGATCATTTACAATTAATTTAATATGTTATAAAATTTATAAGATAATTCACAAATTTCTTCTGCTTTTGCCTCGTTCACGGAGATCTACCCCAGCCAAGAAGCATTTAATAATCTTAATATAGTAGCTATAAACTTTTTTTTTTAAAAAACCCCGACTATTCTTACATGGAATATTTCGGTTTACAAACACAAAAAATATAGTCCAAGAAATACTCCAAACATTTTGCTAAATTACTTCCTTTCTGCCGAGTATACGTCCATCAATTGCAAGTATGGCAGCGCGAATATTAGTTCAAATTCTGTTTTGTGGATTTGCGGTTCCTTAGCACATCATATGCTTCGCCAACTGCTTGCCAAAGCTTAGTTTTTTTCTTCTCTGCTTTTGCCTCATTTACGCAGATCCATCAACCAACCGATCTGGGCTCCTTTTGCTGATTTTTTCAATTTTAACTTCCTCTGTATGAACTTTATTATAATGTTAGCCATAATCTCATCTCTGGCTAAAGTTTTCACTATTGTTAAATCAGCACCGTACATTTGTTTAAATGAATGAGTCATTTTAGAATGAGTACATTGGTGCTTAAGAAATGTAAATGAAGAGATTTCGCTCGGTTGCACACATCAAGTCAGATCCTGTTTACACTGTACCCGATTCGCATGGTCACGACATCAGTTTAAGTTGTTTTACCGTATATTTGTCTCCCAGAATTTTTGTCAGATCATGCTAAAGTAACCATACTACCAAACGTTTGGAGGTGAAACTCCCGTTGACATGATTAATTTTGATGTCGTGACCATGCGAATCGGGACTAAGAGGCTACTTTTGGGATGTAAATTAGGCGCTTGAAAAATTAAATGCGTGGGAAGAGCACGTTGTGGATGTAAATGAGGCCGGCTAGCAAATGATATGCATGGAGAAAGCACGTTGTGGATGTAAATGAGGGGCGTGCGAAATTAGACAAACGTGGGTATGCTAAAGAGGAATGTGAGACCACATGAACAGAGTGTGCAAGTGGTGTGATTAACACGTCGTCTACGCAAATGAATAATCCTTGAAAGTAATATGGGTTACAATTTTGTGGAATGAGCCGATGAGCACATGCGTATAACTGCTCATAATTGCTCGTAACTGCTCATGAGAACATGCTCAACCGCTCGTAGACATTTTTAATACCAAACTATTAAGTAGTATTAATATCAGATTTGGGTAGATTTTGAAGGCAAAATGGGTTGCAATTTGGGGCAATGAGCGTATGAGCATGTGCTCATAACTGCTCATAACTGCTCATAACTGCTCGTGGACACATCCTCATAGCTGCTCATAGCCGCTCATAGCTGCTCATAGCTGCTCATAGCTGCTCATAGCCGCTCATAGCTGCTCATAGCTGCTCATAGCTGCTCATAGCTGCTCATAGCTGCTCATAGCTGCTCATAGCCGCTCATAGCTGCTCATAGCTGCTCATAGCTGCTCATAGCTGCTCATAGCTGCTCATAGCTGCTCATAATTTATTAGTTGCTCATAGCTGCTCATAGCCGCTCATAGCTGCTCATAGCTGCTCATAGCTGCTCATAATTTATTAGTTGCTCATAGCTGCTCATAGCTGCTCATAGCTGCTCATAATTTATTAGTTGCTCATAGCTGCTCATAGCCGCTCATAGCTGCTCATAGCTGCTCATAGCTGCTCATAGCTGCTCATAATTTATTAGTTGCTCATAGCTGCTCATAGCTGCTCATAGCTGCTCATAATTTATTAGTTGCTCATAGCTGCTCATATTAGTTGCTCATAGCTGCTCATAGCTGCTCATAATTTATTAGTTGCTCATAGCTGCTCATAGCTGCTCATAGCTGCTCATGAGTTAATCGGCTTTTGTGCTCATAAAATCCAGTTACTGCTCAATAACAAACCATTTTTACACAATCAGTCCTAAGGGAATGAGCTGCCAGTTTTGCGGGAAGCACTTTAGACGCGGTTACAATCTGCGCAGACACGAACGGGAATATTGTCCACTAAAACAGCAAGAAAGAGGCATGTCTCGAAGAGACTCGGACAGTCAAGAAAGGGATTTGCAGGACGATGTCTCGACCACTTCATCTGTAAAGTCTGAAAGTTCGATGACGACTGACTCAGAAACTGAAGAAAAAATGGATCCATGGATACCTCTAATAGAAGAAGCAAAGCAAAAAAGTAATACAGATTTTGAAGAAATGAAAGAAAGCCTTATAAACACTGGCCTGGATGAGCAATCTGCTAAGGAGAAAGCTTACTCGAATATTATGCCTATACTCCAGAAAGAATTGGAAAATATTTATTTGGAACGCCTTCTGTGGATGAGACAACTAAAGAAAGATCCAGTACATAAGAAAATAATGCACACAAAAGATGCGTTTGTTGAAAATGACGATTTTGATCCAGAAGAGGCAATAGAAGCTGCTGTTGATAAGAGAAAGTTTCTTATTAAAAGGCTTTTAAACAATCACCAGGTTCAGGATGAAGAAGAAAATACAGATAGCGATGATGATAATTAGAAATAATGATTTTCTAAACCATTCTTATTAAGAAACCATGAAAAACGAACAAAAAGAGATAAAAAACGATTTAGAAGAAATTATTATACCAGAAAAATAAATGTTAAAATCGTTATTCCAATGATTGTCTTTGTTATTTCGTTCAACCAGTATGAGCAGCTATGAGCAACTAATAAATTATGAGCAGCTATGAGCAGCTATGAGCAGCTATGAGCAACTAATAAATTATGAGCAGCTATGAGCAGCTATGAGCAGCTATGAGCGGCTATGAGCAGCTATGAGCAACTAATAAATTATGAGCAGCTATGAGCAGCTATGAGCAGCTATGAGCAACTAATAAATTATGAGCAGCTATGAGCAGCTATGAGCAGCTATGAGCAACTAATAAATTATGAGCAGCTATGAGCAGCTATGAGCAGCTATGAGCAACTAATAAATTATGAGCAGTTATGAGCAGCTATGAGCAGCTATGAGCGGCTATGAGCAGCTATGAGCAACTAATAATTTATGAGCAGCTATGAGCAGCTATGAGCAGCTATGAGCAGCTATGAGCAACTAATAAATTATGAGCAGCTATGAGCAGCTATGAGCAGCTATGAGCAGCTATGAGCGGCTATGAGCAGCTATGAGCAACTAATAAATTATGAGCAGCTATGAGCAGCTATGAGCAGCTATGAGCAACTAATAAATTATGAGCAGCTATGAGCAGCTATGAGCAGCTATGAGCGGCTATGAGCAGCTATGAGCAACTAATAAATTATGAGCAGCTATGAGCAGCTATGAGCAGCTATGAGCAACTAATAAATTATGAGCAGCTATGAGCAGCTATGAGCAGCTATGAGCGGCTATGAGCAGCTATGAGCAACTAATAAATTATGAGCAGCTATGAGCAGCTATGAGCAGCTATGAGCAGCTATGAGCAGCTATGAGCAGCTATGAGCGGCTATGAGCAGCTATGAGCAGCTATGAGCAGCTATGAGCGGCTATGAGCAGCTATGAGGATGTGTCCACGAGCAGTTATGAGCAGTTATGAGCAGTTATGAGCACATGCTCATACGCTCATTGCACCAAATTGCAACCCATTTTGCCTTCAAAATCTACCCAAATCTGATATTAATACTACTTAATAGTTTGGTATTAAAAATGTCTACGAGCGGTTGAGCATGTTCTCATGAGCAGTTACGAGCAATTATGAGCAGTTATACGCATGTGCTCATCGGCTCATTCCACAAAATTGTAACCCATATTACTTTCAAGGATTATTCATTTGCGTAGACGACGTGTTAATCACACCACTTGCACACTCTGTTCATGTGGTCTCACATTCCTCTTTAGCATACCCACGTTTGTCTAATTTCGCACGCCCCTCATTTACATCCACAACGTGCTTTCTCCATGCATATCATTTGCTAGCCGGCCTCATTTACATCCACAACGTGCTCTTCCCACGCATTTAATTTTTCAAGCGCCTAATTTACATCCCAAAAGTAGCCTCTTAGTCCCGATTCGCATGGTCACGACATCAAAATTAATCATGTCAACGGGAGTTTCACCTCCAAACGTTTGGTAGTATGGTTACTTTAGCATGATCTGACAAAAATTCTGGGAGACAAATATACGGTAAAACAACTTAAACTGATGTCGTGACCATGCGAATCGGGTACAGTGTAAACAGGATCTGACTTGATGTGTGCAACCGAGCGAAATCTCTTCATTTACATTTCTTAAGCACCAATGTACTCATTCTAAAATGACTCATTCATTTAAACAAATGTACGGTGCTGATTTAACAATAGTGAAAACTTTAGCCAGAGATGAGATTATGGCTAACATTATAATAAAGTTCATACAGAGGAAGTTAAAATTGAAAAAATCAGCAAAAGGAGCCCAGATCGGTTGGTTGATGGATCTGCGTAAATGAGGCAAAAGCAGAGAAGAAAAAAACTAAGCTTTGGCAAGCAGTTGGCGAAGCATATGATGTGCTAAGGAACCGCAAATCCACAAAACAGAATTTGAACTAATATTCGCGCTGCCATACTTGCAATTGATGGACGTATACTCGGCAGAAAGGAAGTAATTTAGCAAAATGTTTGGAGTATTTCTTGGACTATATTTTTTGTGTTTGTAAACCGAAATATTCCATGTAAGAATAGTCGGGGTTTTTTAAAAAAAAAAGTTTATAGCTACTATATTAAGATTATTAAATGCTTCTTGGCTGGGGTAGATCTCCGTGAACGAGGCAAAAGCAGAAGAAATTTGTGAATTATCTTATAAATTTTATAACATATTAAATTAATTGTAAATGATCTCATTTACACTCTAAATGCATCCTACTGTACACATGTTCAATGATTGATTCCTATTCACGTGATGGAAAATCTCCATCCCACATGATCTATGATCCCTGTTCACATGTACCTCATGGTCATTGTCCACATGAATCATGACTTCTTTGTTCACATGATCCAAGACCCATGCCCACGTGCAAACGCATGGTCTTTGTCCACGTGAATCGTGATTTTTGTTCACGTGAACCTATTGTGTCGGCACCCTTTGCTAGCTATATGGGGGGGGTTATCTACTGGTGCCGACCCAAAACTACTGAATCACCGATGGAAATTCATATCGAGTTTAATTCCTATTATCTGATAGAGTCCTAACGTACTACCGCCATTGCAAACATTGAAATAAAATATTGGAATATTACCTCAAGTTAACGAACGGTTCAGCCACGTTTCCTTGGACAAACGAAGGAGTATTCAAAGACTGTATCGCGGGTACTGGTGTTTGTAGCACTTGTGGTAGATCTAAAATTAAAGTGTTTAAATTTGCAGTAAACACAATCACATCTTTACGTACTGTAGGTTTCGTGTCACGTCATAGATTCCAGTGGTGGTCAACTCGAAAATAAGAATCGGAAAAAGGCCTATATAAGCTTTGTGCTTGATTGAAAATTTGTGCAATTCTGTAGTACGATTTGTTCACTCGTGTATACTGCAGAACTGTTGAAAGTACGTTTATTTCCAGTATTGTAATAATCTGAACCAGAACTACAGATCCTGGGGCATATTCAAACTAAGAATTTGTGCACTAACCGTATGCCTGATCGTAGGCAACACACAATTGTTGTCCAGGTACGACATCGCGAACCGTTTGTAAGAAAATCCCTGCTGGTGTATTGTATGCGACGATATTGTATTCCCCGTGACTTGTGCATCGCTCGATGCAGTTGAGCCATTTCGAAGAGGAGAAAGATATCTTGTATAAGTTCAAACAGTAGTCATTGCCTTCCACATCCGGAATCTGTTCATGTAAGAACACGGATATAAGTGTTAATTGCTATATAACTATTACGGCTAGAATAGCTGGCTTGCGAAATGATTGCAGGATTAGAACGGACAATTAAACACAATAAACACACACTGGAACGCTTAAAACTTGCAAAGCGGGATGTCAGCAAAAAAAATGCGAGTGCAAAATGGCTATTTAACGTTCACAATAGAACTTATCAGTGGCTCGAGCCTTGTTAAGCGGTTTCCGTGTTTTGAAATCAAGCGTATCTTTGTTCGCAGACCATCTTTTCCTCCTTCCAACATACGTACCTGAGAAATATATGAATAGTTGAGAACACTTGGTTCTACGGTTTGAGCGATACTCCCAGGAAATGGACCGAACTTCTGTCCTTGTAGCAATTGCTTCGAAGCTACGATGCCAAAAAACTGCATACCAACTGGTAGTTCATATGACACTAAGCGAAAAAGAAAATATATATAAGGATAAGAAATAGGTAAGACACAAAGACAAGCAACAAATTGCAAATGAACAATGTCCATGTTTTATCTACACAGCGTCTTCCAGGTAAGTTTTTGTATCTAGATTCATGCCTGTGCGTGCAAAGGCATGGTTGAGGGGAGGGAGTGGGTCTGTCTACTGATTTTTCAGCACTAGCCTTTGTTGGTGAGACCTGCATTCGGCTATAGCCATATTTCGCAATATGTAAATTACCGAGTTTTGTTATCTTCAAGGACTTTCGAATCGGTTGCTACAAACTTGAATTTAATTTCGTACTGTACAAATGTACACCTTTTCCTAGGCCAGTGCACAGGGGGCAGAGCTTCGTGAAGGGCCCTTCTGCACTGACGCATATTAATCAGAGAGTGTTTTGAGAAGTTGACAGTCGAATTTCGATGTGTTCTTCCTTTCCCAGATTTCAGTCGACCGCTATTTTTAGAGCTCTTACAGTAGCCTGTATTTCTACAGTGCTGTTTGAAGCAGATTCATTCACAAATTGCAATACAGTCGCTAGGATCGGAATATGTAATAGCAGGAGTAACTGCCCTTGCTGCGCTATGCAGGTTTGGCGTCCTTGACCTCCTTTATGAAAATTGTCATCAAATTTATTTGCATTGCGTGCGAGAGAAGCTCCTAAATGGTTATCTACAACGCGCGTGATGCAAAGTCACTTGACCTAAGCAGGTGATTGGGTTAAGTTACAAACTTATTGTACACTATTTAGGTTCAATAAGGTTATTGAAATTTTGTAACTCTTACACCTAATATCTATCACTTATTGTTATTGATGCTGTTGCCCAACGACAATGTCCAAGTAACAATTTTTCAAATAAAAAATATAAATTGAGAACTGATGGGGCATTATTTTTACATTAGTGATGAACAAACAGTTTTCCTTATAACCCTATTAAAAAGACAGGAATTCTGTGTTTGCCAAGAGAACTTCACAAGAAGGATACTTAAAATAAAATATAAAAAATGAATAGACTAATAAATTAAACACAGTTTTTTGATTTTTTAGATATGCACACATATTTTTTTGATATTCAGGTACCAATCATGAATATGTACAAGCACACAATTTGATCTTGAATATATAATAAGTTAAATAACCTAAATTTGTATTCATTCTCCAGTGTGTGATTTGGAATTCACTGTTTTTAATTAACCAAAAGCTGCAATCTGGAACCTAGTACCAAAGTGATCAATTATTTTGTCAGGAGAGGGGGAGGTTTACATGCTAGCATTGTGGCAGTAACATTGTGGTACTTTCAAAGAAGTTTCAGTCTGTGCATATGTCATTGTCTACAAGTTTAGGCATAGGAATTTATATGTTCCAATGACGCCTCTTCTTGGGCTCAAGTGCATGCAGCCATCTCTCTCCCCTCCCATTCTCACCAATTCACACCCCTTAGTTAAGCAGCAACCACAATCATGCTACGGTACTGGGAATCCAAAGGCTGAGTTATCTTGTTTAACTTGAGCTTTAACCAGTATGTTCTATTGCTGTCAAAACCGAGAAATGTCACCACAATCAGACATATACATTGAACTGATTAATCAGTGTTAGACATTATCCTGAGGATGAGAGTTTCATAGCAATAGTGGGTATTTTAAATTTCAAGATGATTCGATTTTTCTTTAGTATTTCACAAACATAAGGTACAATGTGGTTTTTCTTTATCACACCAATACACTTTTCTTTTAAAGGTAAGCACTATTGCAGGAAATTAACTACACTATACTTGCAGAACAAGTGTCATGTTGCTTATGATTCAAAATGCCGAAACCACAGCAAAAGCCACAAGATCCTTAAAACAGGCAAGTTCTATTGTTTGAAAGAACATTTAGTAAAATTAAGACAGTAAAACTCTTCATCTTGACAGCGTTGATGCCTAATATAATCTACAAAATAGTTGATGGTTTTCATGGCTACTAACTTATCATCCTAAAAATCATTGTATCATAAATAACCAAACCTATGACCAAACTGTTCACAATGTGATGGAAGAATCAATCTTCTCATATATTCAGTGATAATTGCACATTGTCAGTGAAAATCATGGATGAAGGTTTCAGAGAAAATAAATTAATTTTTAAACTTGACATTGAAGAGACAGACTTATAACACAATCTCTCAAAGTAAAAATGCATAAAGAAATGTCTGTGTGAGTTCATTCATGAGTACTAATTATGATAAAAATGATTCAGTGATGAACATAAATCTACAAAATGAAGATAAAAATTATGTGTCCTTATATTTCTTGCATTCATAGGTCTCACAAGACCAAATACCATAAACCTAATAACCAAATAACCAGGAAGTAGTTTTGTTCCATCATCAGTGTGATTAAGCAAAGCATTCCAATATATCGCACTTTACCAAAATGTTTACCATTATTCAACCTGAATATATTTTTCTTCTTTAATAAAGATAACTCTATACAACTAAGCTACGGACTTTAGTGTCAGAAGAAAAAAAGGAAACGTCGATTGTCGGGGAACCATGCGTTATTTCATGCTTACAAAATGGCAGTACTTATTGTGATGTATGCTCGCTCGCATGCTGCATGGATTTCATTCATCAAACTTCAGAAGCCCGACGTCTTCGTTTTATGTACGGACTAAAACGGCCTTAAACGCAAGATTTCAAACTAGATCTTAATAGTTTAACTACGCTGACAAATACGCGATTAGAAAGGCAGGTAATCGTTCAGAATTTCAGCGAAATATCACTAGAACCAAGACAGAATCCAAACACTCTTGAATCCCGAGTTAAGGAAGAAGCAATGAATGTCTGTGGAAGATTGCACTCTGTAGAGCGATGATTTACAACAGGGCAATCAAAGTAAATTTGCTAACCAAATCTAAGACCCACAAGTAGCATATCTATATAAAATACTTTCAAGGTTTTGAAGAAGAATAAGGCCCTTTACCTGTCTCAAATGGACTGCTTCTGTTTGTTATGGAATCCATTGATCTTTCACGAACCCCCAAAACAGAGACAGATTCCGCCTGCTTTTCATCAGGATTACTCGGCGATGAAGTCGCTTTGGCGCTTAAATTCTTCACAATTCCTTCAATCCTCTGTTTCCTTCCAGATGCGGCGCTCAAGTTTTTCGTACGGACCATTTTAAGGCGAAATATGCAAGGTGTTTACAATGATCCTCTTCGGACAGATCTTGGAATATGATTCCAACCGCACAGCAGCGCGACGGAGTCGAAGCATATCAACCGAGTCAGGGAATGTGTATATACCATATATGGTCATTATTAATTTACATTACTAAAGCCATTTCCGTGAGGACACAGCTAGAACTGTTATAAAGATTCGTCAATGACCAAAGGGAAGATGAAGATTATTCCTACCATATACATTATCAAATGTGTACATACAACAAAGGCAATGATCAATTCGTCGATTGCAATTTTTAATACCAATTACATCATTGTAAGAAAGAAGGGAGTATGCGTTGTTAAATCGACTTTACCTTTGTTCGAATCGTCAGATTTCTAGCTCGTCATATAATCAGGTAGTCAATCCATCCAATCAAACAAATACCGAAGCCATGGGAAATCTATATTAAAAACGGTCGCCCCTCGGTAACTCGGTGGAGTTTATGTATTGAAGTGGATGTTCAGAATTGTAAATGCCCGCTTGTGTCATACATTTCGAACTTCGAAGGTTGGCTTACCATGATCATTGAATCTATTCAAATGCCGTAGATTTCCGCCTGTATTCTGAAACCACATGTACAATCATCTACTGTGTTAGACATATATGTCCTACTGACCTTTGATGCAGTCATTTCTCGTTTAATACTGAAAGCGATTACGAGAAAAGAATGCACTTGCCGCCGAGATCTTCCACTCAATGCTTCAGTATTCAGTCAGTGAACTTTTAGGATACAGTTCTTTAACATGTTCATTTCAGTAAGATTTAGGAAAATCGTCACTTGGTTTAGCAAAGATCTCACTTGATGATATGCAGTGAATATAACACTAGTGAAGGACCCCGTAAGACGATGTGCATGTCATGACTCGTTATGCATATGGCCGATGTAGATGGTTGGCTGATAATAGTTTAGCGCCTTCAAGTAGAAATGAGAGGCCGTTCGGAGATGTGTTGAAAAGGGCTGTTTCACGATCTCTGCATCGTTCGAAACGCGTTCGTTATTAACTAATTACTCTGCATCTTTGAAGAATTTGAAGGAAATCTAAAACTTGGGGCTGGCCTGTTTTGCTGAGAAATTCAATCTGAAACTGTGCAATCTCTTTCAAGGGTGCCGGCGGTTACAGTGGTATTTTCAAATAATTAGTCTAAATAAACTTACCGAAAAAAAGTGACTACTACGCAGGCTATGAAATGCCTTCCGCCTCGACCGCCTGTCGCAAATGTCGTTATAAATGCATATGTGGCTATAGCAAAGTTAAAGTTTGAAACACTAGTTGCGGCAAAAGTGTCCCTCTGATATGAAATCACTCTGCCAGTGCCAGAGAATACGAGCAAGCCAGAGCTTAGGCTAGAACACAATGAATAGAATTAAAAACCGTTTTCAAAAGGGGCATAAAAAACGAGGTATTCGGAATCATTCACGCCTATAAGGCTATATAAACTGTTCTATTAATTCACCAACAACCCTGAAAGGCCTTTTTAAAGCTCGGAAAAGTTGTTTTGTCGTGCCTGGTGTGATCTAGGCAGTTTCAAATTAGATCAAGAAGAAAACCTTCTTTTTATGTCGGGAACTAACAGTCGTAGACCGGGACTCATGTGCTTAATTAAATTCGTGGGTAAGGTAAATCGTGTCCGGGCTCGTGTAGAATAAACTATATTTAATTAACTATATTTAATAATTACTGAATAAACTATATACTTATCAAGCATATTGCTGCGAAGGAAGTGGTTTTAAATATTGCAGCAATTTTGAACATTGCAAATTCAAACATTTGACATTTCACCGGGTGATATCTTGTAAAAGTGGGCTTGAACCTTGTTGCTGCATGCAGCTGCCACCGCTTAACATTATTTACTGTGGCACTGTTCTTTGTGCTTACAGCAATATGAAACATTAACCGCTTATTCTTAATTTTTAGTGGCTACAATTATGCGTACGATGTTGCATTAAAAGACGAACTGATAATATATTTAAAAATACGTTTTCATATTTTTTCATTTCTACGTGTGGTTGCTACGAGTTCAGAAATGAAGTGCTCTTCTGCATGTAATATTCTGCCCTCGCTTTCCAAAACTGTTTCCGTCGCACTGTTTTGAGCTCCATATACAGTAATCGGAGTGAGACAGTCCTTTGCTGTTTGCTTTAGCATTGTCTTTGCAGTAGCAAATATTTGCAATTTCGTATCATTTGCTCATCACCCCCTGTGAAGCGTGAATGTCAAAACATGATCCGGCGAACATTCAAAGTTGACCCCCACTTAAATCAGCGATTAAAGTGCTTAGGGAAACCTAACAATATGACGGCACTAAAGAACAGTGCGAGCTTAAACGTGACAGAACGTTTGCGAGGAAAAGAGCAGCGCTATTGTATATACACATTAAAAACATTCACGTGCAGTTATATTTTTAATCTTTAATTAAAGTTAAGCAAGAAAGCAAGAAAAAAATTAACCTCTCAGTCTCAGATATTTTATTCTAGGCTGCAAAATACACCAAAATGCTCGACAAAGTCATACTGAGAATGTCTGATATTCCAACATCCAGGCTAAGTTCACCTCAGGGCTTAGGGGAGCTGCATAAAACCTCCAACCATGTTTCGCGTAGTTACACTGTACTTAATTCCAAAACACATAATTCCGGAGTTGTCCAATTCTCCCATTGTTTTGCAACTGTTTATGCGCGGAGTGGAAACAGGAGTGGAAATTTGGAAAACGGTACCCAGGGGGGGGGAGGAGGCATTTTGCCCCGGGCGTCCAACCTGAAAGCGCCCCTGACTTTAAGAAGGAACGTAAGATTAAAGCACCTTCAAAAATGTTGGGCTCAGTGTATTATTCGCACACTAGTCGAAAGTACGAGTGATAGTCTTTGTCATATTAATTTCTAAAATACGTTAATATTGCTTGTAAAAAGTTTTTGTTAAAATTTTTCACATCGCTTTGAAGTACTTTATGCTTGACAGATATTTAAAACAATAACGTCATAGGGCCCCAGGAAAATTTTTGCCCCAGGTCCCACAATTTCTCTCGGCGGCCCTGTGCACGTATAGCCTTGGTGCGTGTAAAAATTCTATTCCCAGATTGTTTCACTTTTTTACCTGCGTTGCGTCGGAATTTTTACATTGATCTTCAAATTGGTCGTCATGGTTATCAGTCAGGCACGCCGGAACAATATGCATGCGATCAATCGATATGTAGCATCTACTCATAAAACGCGAGTTAAAGTAAGGGATATGAGACAGTCTACCCGTTTAGCTATGAGAGTATGAATGAATGCGAGAAGCGTTGGCATTCAAAATCTAGTTGAGAACGAATGTTCGTGTGAAGATAAAGCTTCTATACTTTGGAAAATATTGTGAATTTGGGATGTCGCCTCCTCTGAAAACTAAAACTAGGATTCTTAAAAAACCAGCTGGCTCAACGTAAAGCTAAAAAAGATGATATGCTTGCTCCAAAGAGCACTGGAGATACGGAAACAGGAAAGGACAGGAAAGCTTGTCGAGCCAAGTATTACAAATGAAAAGTGGGGCATCTTAAGGGGATTTTTCGACCTGGTGGAAAAAAATTGAAAAGCTCAGTGGAAAGTCGTCGGTGTGTTACGAAAAAACTGTTTTGATGTTGCAACAAATTGAGTGCGATGCTGAAAATCCGACCCCTATCTATATTGCCAATGCAATTAACAACGCATTTCATTCACCCATGGCTGATTTTTTTCCTTTACCTCTGCTTGGCACCCCACCATGAAGTCCCCTTTACTGTCGCAGAGGAGTCAGTATTTCAGAAGTTGTTGGCATTGAATCCCACAAAAGCTACTGAACCTGACGGTATTCCAAGTTGGTTTTTGAAAGAGAATGACATCTCGCCAAACCGGTAATGGCGATTCCTTTTTAGAATCCATTTACCTCGGTCGGATATTTCGCCAATCCCAAAAAGACCTGTTAAAGACGTTAATTAATAAGGACTTGAGACCTTTTTCACTATCACCATTCCTTTCGAAAGTTGCAGAGGAATAAATGTCGTCGACTGTTTCTTAAAACCCGCCGTGTTAAAGAAAGTAGATCCTCAACAATTGAACATAACGAAAAAGATGGCAGCATGTAAATTTTAACGCAATGCATTGCGAGCATCAAGCATAAATGACTAACAAAAGATGACCGCAGTGCATTCTGGTAAAACGTACATCCTAATCAAAGCCTAATAAATCAGGCTTTCGTACCCAGCACTCTACAGAGACTACACTTTTACATTCTATAAACCAATGTCTTGTAAACATGGACAAGGGCTTGATTAATGGTCTACTGTTTCTGGACCTTAAGAAAGCCTTTGACACGGTGGATCATAAAATACTAATTTCTAAACTAGAACTTTACGGAATAAGAGGAAAAACATTATCATGGTTTATATCTTACTTAACAGAAAGAAAACAAGCTTGCAAAATTAACCACGAAATCTCAGACATGAAAAATATCACTTGTGGCGTCCCCCAAGGGTCGATTCTCGGACCTTTGCTTTTCCTGTTGTACATCAATGACTTGCCAAATTGCTTAACCTCCACAAAACCATCCATGTTTGCGGACGATACTAACCTTTTCTGCTATGGTAAATCAGCGGTAGATATTGAGTACAAAATTAACACTGACTTAGATAACGTTCATAAATGGCTAGTTTCGAACAAATTAACCCTAAATATTAGTAAAACAGAATACATGATTACAGGATCCAGACAACGGTTAAACCAAATTCTATCAGACCCTGAAATTACTATTGCCGAACAAAAGGTTATAAGGGTTGATAATAAAAAATTCTTAGGCGTAATTGTTGACAAAAACCTTAAATGGCATGACCATATTGATGCACAATGCAAAAAAATTTCTAAAAATATCGCTTTACTGAGAAGAGCAAAAAACTACATGACTGACAGCGCCCTTAAGATGATGTATAACTCCCTAGTTTTACCCCATTTTACCTATTGTTCGACAGTGTGGCACCACGGAAACACCACACATATTGACAAACTCCAAAAACTACAAAAAAGAGCCGCTAGGGTTA